ACAAGGGGGGGGAGAACGAGGGGGCGATATTCTCGGGATACCGTATGGCTGAAAGCTATGGCCCAGGCGTTCCGGTATGAGAAAATTGTCGATGAGCTACCTATGGAACAGGTGACTAACATGACAAGAAGCCTGCCTCCCTTATCTCGCGCCCAAGCCGCCCGGACAGGGTTCAAGTTACGCGCCCAGGAAGTCCGGTGTATTCAAGCCGGAGTAGAGTTTGACATGGAGGCTGGCAAGGACCCGTTTGGAGATTCGGAAGACGAGGAGAGCTTACCTGACTATGACGAGACATATCAGGCGGAGCTGCTCCTCTGACCCAGTCCAGCTCGGCATCACACCCGAGCACCTGGTCATTCTCTCTCGCCCGCCGAGTGTAGCAGGAGATTCTCGGGTAATTCAAACATTACCATTGACTAGGAAGCTATGTTATTCCTAGGACATGTGTCACATCGTGCACGGCTCTGGACTCGGCCGAGGGGCTGCCGCACAGGCGTTGGACCTGACATGTACAACCTGAGGTGAATGTTCTCGAAATGGGCGCGGCGCCCCCGGCAGACGTCCTCCTGTATCAACGTGGCCCCTTGCGCGCAATTGGCGGATCATGTTGATCTTCAGGACCCGGTACACTCGTTTCCATTGACTTACTGTCGGGAGGGCCCATTCCCGTCTCAAGTTCTAGAAGCCACACACAATTAATGAAAATCCAATGGATTTCCCTGGCTGCACTTTCGTTACGATCGTTCTGTAGAGCCTTAAATCGTTTTGGTAATTATGGAATGCCCACGGGGGCTTATTCTTCTCTGTATGTGGATGACATTCATGACCTCCATGCCGCCTGTAACTGGAAATACGGTGATTTGAAACAAATGTTCCCTACATTTATCATGAATCATTTTGAAACTACAGAAAAATATGACCGGTTTGAAGGGACTGATTACACCCCCTACAACTATCACAAGTATCCAAAGGACTCCTTCTGGGGCAGAAGGCTCAAAGCAGTGGATCTCTCGAGCACCCCAATACAAGGTGGAATCTGTGATGTGACACGTGCAAACAATCGTAGCGCCGATTGGAGATTCATTCGCATAGGCCCCCTAACAAGCAAAGGAGGTTACGACTGGTGGCAATACGCCGGGCATAATGCCTTGAACATGAGTGACTTCACTAAGAGAGGCACGATCGGTATTACTGGACATACGTGCCGGA